ACTGGTCTATCCTGGCTAGTATCCTCTGTTCTGCGCCTACTGCCTGATCCTTTTAACCAGAGGTTCCAGCTCCTACCAACCTAGCAGTTCGAAAGCAAGATATTGCAAGTAGATAAATAGGGACCACTTCAGTGGGAAGGTAACAGCGTTCCGTGTGCCTTGGTGTTTAGTCAAGCCGGCCACATGACCACGGAAACGTCTTCGGACAGCGCTGGCTCTTCGGCTTTGAAACGGAGATGAGCACCGCAACCCTAGAGTTGGATTTCGAGCAAGGGAACCTTTACCTTTACCCAGGGCTATTTTGGGGCTGGAACGCACAGGAACGGAGTTCCGGCTGGCTCCCAAGTTGGCCACGCCCAGCAGGAACTCATTAGCATAATAGGCCACACCCAATAGCAGAAACTCATTAGGATTGGCTACATTAGGGGTGTGTGGCCTAACATGCAAAGGAGTTCCTGCTACAAAAAAGGCCCTGGCTTGACAACAAACAAGGTAAACAGAATAACAAGCAAAAGGTGGGTGTGGCTAGATGACCACACTTCTGGTAACATGGTGGTGTGGCCTAATGGGCTAATGAGCGGTGCTGTCAGGGTGTGGCCTAATATGCTAATGAGTTCTTGCTGTTGGGTGTGGCCTATTATGCTAATGAGTTCCTGCTGGGCTTTTTCTACAAAAAGAGCCCTGCTTACCTATGCAGACTCTCGAGCCTCAGTGAAAACAGCGACAGCTGCTATAGTGAACGCAGGAAGCTGCCTTCTACCGAGTCATACTGGTCTATCCTGGCTAGTATCCTCTGTTCTGCACCTACTGCCTGATCCTTTTAACCAGAGATGCCGGAGACTGAACTTGGGACTTCTATTCTCCTACGGAGCCACGGCCCCTTCCCCAAAGAGGCAGAAGCCCCGCTGGCTCCATCTGGTCAGCCTGGGAAGACCTCCTCCACTCAAAGCGTGTGCATTCGCTCCAGTTCCAGCAGCCTGCAAACTGGCGGAGCTTGGAGGTTGACCGCCCATGCACTTCTTGGCTCAAATCCGTTCCGGCACTCAGTCCCCCTTTCTTTAAACTGTGTCTTCGTTGCTTCTCCATAAATATCCCCGAAGCCGCTTAGAATGGCACCAAAAAGACAATATAAACTATTAATACAAACCAACAAAGCAGCAGGATATTTTTGAATACCTGTTGGTGCTTTTCGTTTACTTTTCTGCACCAGCAGTTTGTTTGTTTGTTTGTTTTGGGGGGGGGGGGCTTCCCACCCCCTTCGCAGTTATCAAAAAGTACGCCCAGCCACAGCCGTGGAGAATCAGAGGATCAGGAATCGTCTCCCAGGCCTATCCGGGAGGAGGAAGGAAGCAGGTAATCATGGGACTTGTAGTTCGTTGACAACCCTGCGCTCTTCCCTGTTGGGAAAGAGGAAGAACGCTGGCTTTCAGAGCGCAGAGAACCAACAGGAGATAGGTACCGCTGCTGCTGGGAGTTGCAATCCATCCGTGATTGAAGTCGATAATTATTTTCCACGTTGCCTATGAAAAGTACACAGAGTGAGGCGCACTCCTTACGTGGGACGTGCACTTGAGAAGAGCCCTGCTGGGCACATCGGGTCCCTCTAGCCCAGCCTCTGTCAGTCAGTTTCCAATCAGGGAACGGAGATGCTAACCACCCTCGGTTGCAGGGGCCTGTAAACCTATGGCTGTAGACCCTCACCCAAATACGCCTCTTTAAAAACCAAAATGAAATCTGGGTGTTCCTCTGTATAGTTATTACTCATTGTCAGGTTTCCTTCTCCACCAACAGCCTAACACTGAGGGACTACTTTGTGACATTAGAACAGGAATCCAAGGTGCACATCCTCATGATTTTTACATACAATCCCCCCACACCATTATATCACTGGCACAGTCAATCAACAGACCACACACCAGAAAGCAGGGATCCAATTCTGTGGTACCACCATGGAGCAGATCATGCATGGATCCTTATGGTTATGGCACATCCCCATCAAAAGTCACACCTGCTGGTAAAAGAAAATGGATCTTTAAATCTTGGTGTGCTCAGTGTGAACATTATGAAGATCACCCCCCCCCATGTAGAATTTAATGGCTCTGTGTAGCTGTTACCCCCCCCCCAGATTTTAGTGTTAATAATTGATTCCCATATCCAAAATTGCAAGTACTAACATGGCAGTAATATATACTAACACCCAGAGATGCACCTGCCCAGTCTTCAGTTACAGTAGATAGATTTATGTGGATACTAGCTTATGATGGAAAACCACTCATAAGAACATAACAGAAGTCAATGTTGGATCAGGCCAATGGCCCATCTAGTCCAACACAGTGGCCAAACATACCAGGTGCCATCATCCAGCAGTGGGGCCAGGACACTAGAAGCCCTCCCACTGTTGCCCCCCCCCCAAGCACCAAGAACACAGAGCATCACTTGCCCCAGCCTGAGGGTTCCTATCTATACCTTGTGGCTAATAGCCACACTCCATGCACATGCCGATTGCATTCTGGACCAAAGTCTAGGCCAGTGATCCTCAATGGGGCACCTGCTGCTGTTTCTTGGTGCCGGTTTCCTCCTTCCTCGATGCATCTCTTCCCCAAAGAGCAGCCCTAATTTTCCTCCATCTCAGGTGCTTCAGAACAGCCCGGGTAGGCCACTCGGGCGTGCCTAGGCACTCTTCAAGCAATTCAAAGCAGCTCTCCACCCCTCACACTGTGCTACTCTTGGTTATCGTTCCCTTTAAAGCTACAGCAGCAGCCTCTCTTCCTTTCTCTTTCCTACTGAGGCGGGCAGGCGGCAGCGGCACAAACCTTTTGGCTCCAGCTAGGAAACTAATAACACCCTTTCCCATCTCCCCCAAGCGTACACATCCATACTAATTTTCTGGTTGGAAAAGGAGCATACTATTGACTCACTCTCCCATGCTTCAAAGCTGCTATTTGCTTTTTCCAGGGGGGGGAACAGAGGTACCCATGCAGATCGAGTGACAATTTGGGGTAGTAGTGGTGGTTTGCTTTGGGAAAGATCCCCCCTCCCCCCAAGCACTGCACACCTGCTCCAAAGACTCACCAAGACTGCTATTTTGTGACTAGCTCCACTTACTGAGCCATTTTGTGACTGTTCTTAAGACTCTTGGGGAAAGATGCAACACCTAGAAACTTAGAAGTCTGCCCTCCCCTGCTTTAAAGGCAATCTACTTGTTAAAGGCAATCCCTCGAGACTTCTGTGAGACTAATAAGACACAAAGGTCCACTGCCGCTAGGATTCCAAGGACAGGAATGATGCCTTGACATCTGCTCCATGCTCCCTGTTGACTCCCCTCTTCATCAAGGGTGTGGGTAGATGCAGGCAGGGAGGGCTGTGAGGGATCAGAAATGTGTTGACACAAATTCTTCAGTGTGGCAGAGGGGGAAAATCTGGCACAAAAGATCCTCAGGTTGTGTCCAGCGTTCCCTCTAAGCTATGCACGTGAGCGGCCCGCTCATTAACACAGGAAGCCCCCCTCAGCAGCAATCTGCCCATTTTAAGATTACAGCAGCAGTTATATTCCGCTCAGGATGTGAACTACTCCACTCAGTAGGGGGATAAAATTAGAGGAGACAGTGTTGTGTCACAACAATGCTCACCTGTGTTATTGTTAAATACACTCAGAGAGGCCACACGCCCCCTCGCACACCTGACACTATCATTAACCCATGCATCTCTCACTTTACCATTGGCAGCAGAAGACATCGACAGCACCCCACTGGCCTCAGGTTCAGAGATGCTACTACTCAGGGAGGGGAGCCTGCATCCACCACATCTACATGAAACCTCCACTGAGGTTCTGGTGGTAGTGCAGGCCCTCAAAATGCCTACGTGGCAGGTATGTAAGCAAAGCTCCATTCGGTAACCCCATGCTGGAAGGCACACCCTGCCTGTATCCGTTTCTCCAGCAATGGTAGGCGTGCAGGCATACTTCACCCATGCTGAGGGGAGACTACAGACCCAGAGTCAAATGCTGTGGGCAGTAAGAGCTTACAGGCATGAATCCCCCCCCCCGTGCCATAAGCAGGGTGCCGTAATTATTTATGCTCTTTCTTTTGTAGCTCAAGGCAGTCTACAGTGCTAAGATTTAAAAACTGTACAAAAACTCCACATTAACCCTCCCCCTCCAGAAAAAAATGCCTTTTGCTTAAACTCCACCAGAAGAAACTCCACCAAAACTCTTACTTTTGACCTTCCCCATATTTTCTCTTTGGCTGTTAGACGCCCCCTCTCACCCGTTTGGTAGTTATTTAGTGTGCACAATTTTTCTCAGCTCTCCCTTGGGGGCTTAGGGAGGGGCTGTGGCTCAGCGGAAGAGCCTCTGCTTGACATGCAGAAGACCCCGGGCTCAATCCCTGGCATCTCCAGTTAAAAGGATCAGGTAACAGGTGATGGGGAAGACCTCTGCCTGGGACTCCAGGTGGACCGAGTGTCTGATCGCGCAAGACAGCTTCACATGCAGCTTTATAGCACGGAGTTTGTTTGAAACGTCTAGTTTTTGTAAGGATACAAAAACTGCTCTGCTTTAAAAATCTAATCATTGTTACACAAAAATAGCTTTGTCTGAAATACTATAAAGAAAGAAACCTGAGCTTTTATTTATAGAATGAAAGGAAAGGTAAAGGTTTCCCTTGCTCGAAAGCCAGTTGAATCCACCTCTAGGGGGCGGTGCCCATCTCTGTTTCCAAGCCGAAGAGCCAGCGCTGTCCAAAGACTTCTCCGTGGTGATGTGGCCGGCGTGACTAAACACCAAGGCGCACGGAACACTGTTACCTTCCCACCGAAGCGGTACCTATTTATCTACTTGCAATTTCTTGCTTTCGAACTGCTAGGTTAGCAGGAACTGGGGCCTTCCCACCGAAGCGGTACCTATTTATCTACTTGCAATTTCTTGCTTTCGAACTGCTAGGTTAGCAGGAGCTGGGGCCAGAGACGGGAGCTCACTCTGTCATGCAGCACTCAGGTCTCGAACTGCCGAGCTACAGACCTTCCAGTCGACAGCTTCAGCGTCTTAACCTCTGAGCCACCACGTCCCAGTAGGGGACCAGATGTGGACTGGGGGTGGGTGGGGGTGGACAACCAGCAAAAGTGAGATTTTTAAGATTGGGGGTGAGATTTTAACACCGGGTGACTTTACAGATAAAAGTGTTCCAGCAGATGGGGGGTACATTACATATCAGGGGAGTACTTAGCCCTGGGGCGCACCACCCTGGGGGGTCGTGATAGGTGTTCATGGGAGGATTGACTTTCGCCCGGTGATGGTCTGGCTGCAGGGGGGTCCAGCTCCATTTGCTGTGTAGGAGGTGCGTGGGAGTTTAAGGGCACGGGGTAGGAAGGCGGGACAAAGCTCTGCTGCTGCTGCTGCTGCTGCAGCATAATCAGCTCCCCCAGTCTGTCCAAACTCTTCATTGCGGCATCCATGATGCGGAAGTTGCGCTGCAGGGCTTCCTCCACGAGCCTCCGGTCCTCTCTTGCCTCTTCCCGGTCCGCCCGCATCTCCGCCATCATCTCCTCGTGCTGCCTGCGGCGCTCTGTCATATCTTCCGCGTGCCGCTTCTTTTCCGCAGCGTGCTCCCGGCGGCGCTCCTCCATTTCCTGGCTGTGCTCCCTGCTGGACTGCTCCATCATGCGCTCCGCCACGCTGTAGAGGCCGGGTACACGGCGCTTCTTGGCACGGGCGTTGGCCAGGCGTGTGGCAGGGGAGAGCTCCGCCAGGTGGGGCTCCGCGTCCACTCCTGCAGGGGGTGAAGGAGAGGGGGGAGGAGTACTATGAAGGGCCGAGAGCCTCAGTGATGAAAAGAGGGGACACGGTGACCTAACAGGCCCCTGGCCCAAGACCACTCTGCAGATGCAAAGCCACGTACCTCCCCTAGCACTCCCTGTTGGACTTTCAGGGGTCCTGGCGCACTGCTCCTCATCCCCAGATGTATGCGCTGGAAAGAGAAATAGTGGTTTGTGAGGCGGGCCGCGTGCCTCAGCGGGGAGACGGCAAAAGCAGCAGGCATTCAACGGGACTTGAGGCAGTCGTGGCGGTGAGCAGACTGTTTCAGGTCACCACGGCCAGCCGATGATTTATTTTTTGATTTATACCCCGCCCTCCCAGCCGTGGCCGGCTCACAAAACAGAATAAAACACACGCATAAATTTAAATAATCCTAAAATCAGAAAAAAGTTGATTCCACCCACCACTAGGTATCTACCACAGGTTATCCCTGTGTAGTCTCAATCATGTGGTCATGCTCTACACTGTTTGGAAAATATCCCAACTAAAACCTAATCTTTTTACAGGAAGTGCATGGTTACTCTCCCATTACTGTCTCCCATATCTGGTTCACCTGTGCAGTAGTGACCACAAGGAGGCAGGTACAGAAGTCTTAGAAGAAGCCACATAATCAGTATTACTCTTGGCACAGATGCCTTTAGAACCTCCCACAGATCCAGGGGTGGCGGGGCTTAAGTCTGCCTGGATGTAATGCCCGCTTTGCCCTGGGTCAGGGAAGGGGTAAAGTGACTCTGCTCCAGCCATTTGGTAGCTCCCCCACCCATTACTTTAGAAGCAATCTAGACAAAGGAAATGCTAGACCCTTCCTCCTTGAGAGTAAGGGAAAACTGGGAATCCAGAGGTGAGCCATAACATATTATAAGGCCGTGGTCACACACACTAAATAATCCACTTTCCAACTGGATTTTGCCCGTTCACACAGTAAAATGTGTGCCCTATATGTTCCCCAACGAGCACTACGGTCCGGGACTAAACATCTCCTGGTGGTTCCAGGTCCCAAAGAGGCCAGACTAGCGGCGGCTAGGGCTAGGGCTTTTTCGGTGGCGGCTCCTACCTGGTGGAATGAGCTCCCAGAAGAGATCCAGGCCCTGCGGGCCCTTGCACAGTTCCGCAGGGCCTGCAAGACGGAGCTCTTCCGCCAGGCGTTTGAGAAGGAGCCGCCACGACTGTTACCATCTGTCTACGACTATTACTATCTGTCCTAGCCCTTTATCACCTTTATTACCAACTCGCCGTGAGCGCTAAAATACTGCGTGGAGCTGGCCACTAAGGATACCATCCTGATGACGTCATCTATGTCCTTGCTAGTTATTGTGGAGAGCACTTTTGTATTGAATGTTTTTAAAATGCAGTTTTAATGTGTTATGTATTGGGCATTGGCCCCATCTGTACGCCGCCCTGAGCCCGTTCGCGGGGAGGGCGGGTTATAAATGTAAATAATAAATAATTAATAAATAAATAAATAAAATCCAGTCGGAAAGTGCACTGAAAGTGGATTGTTTAGTGTGTGTGACCACAGCCTGTGTGCGTGTTTGCGGGGGTATCTACGGGCCTGGCGGCTGGTCACCATGTCCACGCCCAAGCAACCCGGGGGGGGACGGTGGAGGATCTCGCCCACACACCTGATTTCACTGGTGGAAGCATGGCATGAGAACAAGACAAATACAATACAAACAATACACTGTTAAAACACGGAAGCTATACATCGCTACAGTGCTATACTGTAGCAGGCTCACGTTGAGAGGGCAGCAAACCAGAGACGGGAGAGTTAAATGGTACTGGGGAGAAAGGGACCACCACCGAGACCTTATAAACACGGCCGAGAGGAGAATGGGCCGTGGGGCCCACCTGGGTCTCAATTTATTTATTTATTAATTTTTGGATTTATATCCCGCCCTCCCCGAAGGCTCAGGGCGGCTAACAACGAGGCACAAGTGCCAGAATTAAAACAGATAAAACAGTCTAAAACCATAAAACAATACAGTACAACAACAAAGTGTCAGTGCAAGATGGGGTAGAACTTCCTCAAATGGTATATTGGTCCCACAACTTGTCAGCACCCTCTCCTTCCAGGGTCACCTCGCACCCAGATGGAACCACATATTAGTGGTAGTGGTGCGATGCTGCAAACATATCGGTGGTGGAATTGAAGTGGCAGCGGCTCCTCCTCAAAAGCCTGGCGGAAGAGCTCCGTCTTACAGACCCTGGGAAAAGGACTGTGCACGTGGCATACCTGGTGTGGCCGCCTCCTCTATCGGCATCTCATCAGCCTCCTCCTTCGGGTGGGGGGTGGCTCGGCTGCCCGCAGGATCCGTCACGGCAGTTCCTGGAAAGGGGCGACACTTATTAACAGAAAAGAGCGGAAGGAGCAGGTTAATAATGGGGAGGATGTGGCACTGAACACTGTGGTGAGGGTCAGTCTTACTTGACGGTGCAGGGGTGGAGAAACACTCGTCCTCCATGCTGTCCTCCACCTTGACCGTCGGCAGATCGTGGGCGGGGAGCTGCTCCGGGTCTTCCTGTGGCGCGGGACGGGGCCTCGGCTGCTCAGTGGGCTTGCGAAGGGCGTTTAAACTGCGCGGCACCCGCTTTGGCTTCACGCTGGCATCCCCCCGTAGGATGCGGTGGAGCTCTTCGAAATACGGGCAGGTCGCCCGGTTGCTGCCCGTCTGGCTGTTGAGCGTCACCACCCGCTTATACTCCAGGCGCAGGGCTTTCGCCTTGGTCCGGCACTCCACGGCCGTGCGGTTGTGGCCCCGCTTGGCCATCTCCTTCGAGATCATCTCAAAGGAGTCGATGTTGCGGTGGCAGCTGCGGAGGGCCTCCTGCACGTTCTGCTCCCCCCAGAGGGCGAGCAGGTCCAGGGTCTCCTCGCGCCTCCATGAAACTCCACGAACACCAGATGGCTTGCTGGCTGCAGGTGGGGTTTGAAAAGTGGGAGAAAGGGGAAATTGATGGGAAGGGTAGAAGAAACGGCTGGGGGAAAGTACAGACCGGGGTTCCCCGAGCTCTTCGAGCCTGCAGGCGCCTTTGAAACTCTTCCCCCGCCACAGCAGGTGCTGCTTCAGGCACACAGTGGAGAGCCTTGGGCTGCGGTGGCAGGTTCTGCCAAAGCAACTTTAAAAAAAAATATCTGCACAGCCAATCAGATCTCCACTGGCCAATCAGAAGCCTTGCTGGGCAACAGCTCCACCTGGCCCCGCCCCCATTAAAAAAACCCACACCCACGGTGGGCACCGATGCTCCCTCTAAGCTGTGGAGTCCTGTGAGCAAAAATTCTACTTTCTGAGCTACTGGCATTAAAGTGATGAGCAGGTGATTTGGCTGCTGCATAAATTAGTTTGCTCTGGAGCCCTCCTTCCCGACCTCAGACAAAAATGCGTGAGCCGGAGGCTAAAAACCTGTGAGCTAGCTCACACTAACTCAGCTTAGGGGGAACAGTAGTGGGCACCCGGAAAGGTATCAACAGGGGACCCACCGTGTAAACTGAAAGGGAAAGGAAAAAACACCCCACCAAGGCTTTAAAAAAGCTGCCTTAAAAGATGGCTTTAAAATGTCCTGAATAGGACACTTGCAAAGACTACATGGAGAAAAGGCACCCGTGGGATCCCAGATACAGGGGAGGACCCTAGTGGGACTGCCCGGGGAGACGACTCTGCACGTGGACTGCTGCTTCATTTCCCAACTCCCCTCCCATTTTGGGGTTGATCGCTCTTTGCCCCTTGGGCTTTGGCCCTTTTTTCCTTCTGTGCATGTGCTTTAACGACGGAACACAATTATAATTTCAGAAGGGAATCTGCATGCTGATGGATCGCCGTAGCGTTACTGTATTATGGCATGATAGCAGATATAGATTTTTTTTTTTAAAGTCCTTAAAAAATCTTCCCATGGTATGGCAGGAGGAAAAACCGGTGGGGGGAAAAACCAAGATGGGCGGGACGTTTGCAGGGCAGACATGCCTTTACCTGTTTTCTTCACCAGGGATCTGTTTAACAGCTTCCTTGCCTCATTCATTTGTTCTGAGAATCTTCTCTCCTCAGTTCCTGGCCAAAGATCCTTGTCATTCACACTTGTTTGCCCATGGACTCCTAGAGCAGAGATTTCTTTATTATAGAGAAACTCCTGTGCAGAGTCTGGGTAGGGCCAGGAGGGACGTTTTGCCCCGTCCTCAAGCTCTAAGATTTAGGCACTTGTTACAGGGCTCTTTTTGTAGAAAAAGCCCAGCAGGAACTCATTAGCATAATAGGCCACACCCAACAGCAGGAACTCATTAGCATATCGGGCCACACCCCTGACAGCACAGCTCATTAGCACATTAGGCCGCACCCCCATGTTACCAGAAGTGTGGTCATCCAGCCACACCCACCTTTTGCTTGTTATTCTGTTTACCTTGTTTGTTGTCAACACCCAGGGCCTTTTTTTGCAGCAGGAACTCCTTTGCATGTTAGGCCACACACCCCTAATGTAGCCAATCCTAATGAGTGCCTGCTGTTGGGTGTGGCCTATTATGCTAATGAGTTCCTGCTGGGCGTGGCCAACCCGGGAGCCAGCCGGAACTCTGTTCCTGCGCGTTCCTGCCCAAAAATAGCCCTGCTTGTTAATTTTTTTGGCATGTGATAAGTTTTGCAACTCTTATGCCCATCATGTATTGTCATTTTAAATTTTTCACTTAAGGCCTCTGAAGCTGGAAGTGGCCGAGGCCTCTCCAGAACTCACCACATATATGAGGCACAACCCACCTGTAAGAAAAGCTACAGCAGAAACTTGGGAAAGGGGACCAGGGTTGTATGGGGGAAACCAGATACCACAACACCATGTTTGTCAAAACATATGGGCATATGTACACCGAGAGCACTGTCTTGGGGGCTGCTATCCTCTGACAAAAGCAGATTATCTTTTGAGGATCTGGCTGGGGAAGTGCTGGGGGTGCTCACGCTTCTTCAGCGGGGGCTGGATGAGAGCGGGGTGGCCAGACTTGCTTAACGTAAGAGCCACACAAAACAAACATCAGGTGTTTGAGAGCCGCAAAACGTGAACAAACATTACAGACATGTTTGTATTGAAAAATATGCAGATTTGCTTTTTATTAACATTAAGTGAGACTGCCAAAAATAAAATATCTAAAAATAAAATATCTAAAAATATATATTGATAATGATATTTATTTGTACAATTATATTTGTAGGCTGGAAGGGGGGCTTTGAGAATGCATTTAAAGCTAAAGTTGCTTTCTTTCTCTGCTCCCCCCTGCCTCAAGCCTACCCAGGAAGGGGAAGACCTATTGGGGAAGGGAAGACCTATTGGGGAGGCATGCCTCCCCTTTGCTTCCCCGGCTGCCCTGTCAGGGGCCACACAGTATGTGTGAAAGAGCCGCATGTGGCTCCTGAGCCACAGTTTGGCCACCCTTGGATTAGAAGAAGAGGAGATTGGATTTATACCCTGCCCTTCACTACCCAAAGGAGTCTCAGAGCGGCTTACAGTCTCCTTTCCCTTCCCCTCCCCACAACAGACACCTGTGAGGTGGGTGGGGCTGAGAGAGCTCTGACAGAAACTGCTCTTTTTTCAAGGGCCGCTCTTATCAGAACCCCGGCTTGCCCAAGGTCATCTAGCCAGGTGCAAGTGGAGGAGTGGGGGAATCAAACCCGGTTCTCCCAGATTAGAGTCCGCACACTTAACCACTACACCAAACTGGCTCTCCAGTCCCATCTTGTTCTGTGACTCTCTGATTCCAGCCAGTCCCTCACCTTCGTGGGAATCTGGGAGTCTCCGGAACTCCTCTGAAGGATTTTCTTCTTCCTCCACTTTTATTATCACATCAGGGATCCCTAGTCAGGAAAAAAGATCCAAAACATATCAAGAAAACCAAATCATGGTTCTTATGTTCATGTGGTGCATATATTGACAGCAATCTGCAACATTCAGCATAATTTGCTGTATCTAATGCTAAGTTGTTAAGGTTGCAACTGGATATTTTTGATATCTTGAAGTTATTTATGATGGTTAATACCTGAAGATGTTTTCTTGACTCTTGAGATGTGTAAATTCAGTTGTTTCCTGAACTAACAAATGCACTGAATGTTCTATTCATAACTTATTTATTTAGAATATTTCCACCTTGCTTCTACAAGAACTCTTGCCCAGGAGGTCATTCAGGTATCTCATGAGGAAGAAGAGGAAGAAGAGGAAGAAGAGGAGGAGGAGGAGATTGGATTCATACCCCGCCCTTCACTTGGAGTCTCAGAGTGGCTTACAAACTCCTTTCCCTTCCCCTCCCCACAACAGACACCCTGTGAGGTGGGTGGGGCCTGCTTCTACAAGAAATCTTGCCCATGGAGGTCGTTCAGGTATCTCAGTCCCAAGCCATTTAAGAAGAAGAAGAAGAAGAAGAGAAGAAGAGATGGGATTTATACCCCGCCCCTCGCTGGGGGTCTCAGAGCGCACACTTAACCGCTACACCAAACTGGCTCTATTTTTAAAGATGACCCTCAGCACCTTGAATTGTACCTGAATTAAACAAATGGGCAAGTGACGCAGTCCCTCTATCTAGTCCCCAAAAGCAATCCGGCTGCCACGTTTTGGATGTGGAAAGCAGCTCAGCTCTGCCAATTTAGTACTCTGAAAGCTCTTCCTCTACAGGTAAGTAAAGTGGGGGGGGGTGCTTAAAGTGCTCACGCGGCTCATCCTTCTGGTGATTCTCCGGGCAAACTGCATCTTTCAGCACAGGAGTGACGCAGTCCCTCTATCTAGTCCCCAAAAGCAATCCGGCTGCCACGTTTTGAATGTGGAAAACAGCCCAGCTCTGCCAATTTAGTACTCTGCAAGCTCTTCCTCTACAGGTAAGTAAAGTTGGGGGGGGGGGTGCTTAAAGTGCTCACACGGCTCATCCTTCTGGTGATTCTCTCTCCCAACTGATGTGGAAGGTCTAAAGCAGTTGATCAAATTGTTTCCCTTGAGCCGCTAACAGCTAAAGAAGCTTCCAGTCCTTAGTCTGAAAGGTTATGGAAGAAGCTTGTCTTTCCACAATGTACTTTTCATTCATGCATGCAAACCTTCAGTTGACTCTGACATTCAGCTTGCAATGTCAGAGTCAACTGAAGGTTTCAGATTCGACGCAACTGGAGATTTTACTCCAGATTCATCCAGGAACCAGCTAGATGAAAAAATTGTTCACAATTGTTCTGATACCGTTACCAAACGGTATCTTTGAAAGAGGGAAGATTACCAGACTCTTACTGCACGCAGTACGATACATATTATGATACAATATATACTACAATATTTACGTAACCAGTGCATATGTGCAACCACCAGTGCCTTTTCAGCCCTGGCCCCAGCCTGGTAGAGCAAGCTACCAATTGACATCAGGGCCCTGCAGGATCTATTGCAATTCCACAGGGGCTATAAGACAGAGCTGTTCCACAGGGCTTTTAGTTGACGTGGCAGGCATCCAAATTCTTCTATCTTCGGCCTCCCCTACTGGACTCCCCTTGTGTCCAGTGGCCAACGTTGCCGGCACTGCTCAGAAGTACATCATAGCATTGCTACCAAGGCAATGTCTTATGCTGGTTTTATTATCGTTCTTTTAACTTTCAAATTTCAAATTTTGTAATATTTATGACATTCTACTGTCTTATTGTCACGTCTTATGTGACCTGTAACCCGCCCTGAGCCTGCTTATGGGGAGGGCGGGATATAAATTGAATATAATAAATAAAAATAATTTGAACTTCTGTGTAATTGACATAGAAGAAGAGAAGAGATTGGATTTATACCCCGCCCTTCACTACCCAAAGGTGTCTCAGAGCGGCTTACAAACTCCTTTCCCTTCCTCTCCCCACAACAGACACCCTGTGAGGTGGGTGGGGCTGAGAGAACTCTGACACAAACGGCTCTTTTTCAAGGACAGCTGTGCCAGAGCTTGTGACTGACGCAAGGTCACATCAGCAGGTGCAAGTGGAGGAGTGGGGAATCAAACCCGGTTCTCCCAGATTAGAGTCCGCACACTTAACCACTACACCAAACATACTTCTTATACAGTTGCTTTCCGATCTCCTGAATTGCCCATGCCCATCACCCTTACAGTGGAGTATAATGAAGGCCCTCTCTGCTTGTTTTTAAAATTTGACTTTTGGTCACCAGTGTCAAACTTATTGTGGATGCTGTCACATGTATCCACCAATCCTTGGGGATTGGCAGGGGGATTTCCACTGACAAAGCTTGAAAATGACACGGCCAACCCTTTTCCTCACCTGAGTGGACGTTTGGGGAAGTCGCGTATCCCTCAGTTGGTTCCTCCAGTTTTAATGTATTATTCAGAAAGCCTGATCAGGTAAAAACAATTATTACTAGGAAGAATAACTACATATCTGTGAGATACTGGTGCTGCATCTGCTTCTACCTGCTTCTAGTTAGATGACCAACCACCTTGCTCCTTGAAATAGCAGGCTGGGGAAGCAACCTACGAGAGGATCTCCTCAGAGGGTAAGTATCCCAGTCTGCTGTTTCAACTAACAATGTTCTTCATGTTGTCTGACTAGACTCTGTGAGGGCAGAAGGCAGAAAATATTACTAGTATGACCAGGGGCACACCCTGAATTAGCTTAGCCCATTCAGCATTTGAATAAGCAGTTTGGAAGATCTAGTTCTCCTCAGTGTCCTGAGGATCTGAAGCCCATGAATCTGCCCTGATATGCTTAATGACCATATCAGAGATCTCTGTGGTCCATCCAGCACATACCAAGCGGTGGGGGTAAACTGGGACAGAGTGGATCTCCACATATTTGGTTCCTTATTTATTTACTCATTTAGAAGATTTCTAGGCTGCCTTTCCATTTATCTTATACAACAGTAATATATTAACAATCCGAGACAAACTGAGCATCCCTGATTTCCAACTGTTTCTCTGAATACTTACCTAAGTTAGCATCTGATGGCGTCTTCTTTTCCTCCAGACTCTGAGGACCAGGCACGAATGGATCTTCCCTCTGTACCAGCTGAAACGTCAGTAAAGGAGCTGGAAGACCTGTCCAGAGAGGAAGGAAACTGTGGCTGGCATTAAATGGCTAAGGTAGGTGGGGAGAATATATGTCAAGGGAGGGAGGCCCACAATCCCATGTTTTCTCCGGAGCCCTTAACCACGGCTGAAGGATCAAGAGGATTAATGATGCTCTGTCATTATTCATCCTCAACCCACCATTATTTATATAAGACATTTCAGGTATCTCACGTGTGGCTACTTCCGTCTTTTGTCAGTTAGGGAAGTTACCTATATAGTTGTGATTTGCTGATGGGATGCAGCTTCCTCCTTCTCCCATATGTGGTGGTCATATAGATAAGCCTGGGCAAAAACAGATGTGTTGGCTTGAAGCCTAAAGGAAAGTAAGTAAGGTAGACGCCAGGCAAGCCTCAAGGGGGGGGAGGGTGTTCCAAAGGTGAGGTGCCACCACTGAGAAAGCCCCGTTGTCTCTGATGTCCACCTGCCTCCGTTGTGTAGGCAGGGGCAAAAAGAGCAGGGCCTGATCACTCGGACGTAAGCAAAGGTTTTAGAGATGCTTTTCATGTCACATGTGAAAACACCTTAGATAATGTCTCCCTAATTGTTTTTCCCCCCACAAATTCACTAGAAATCAACCTCTCCAAACGAACTAATGAACTGAACACTTACCTTGAGAGCTGACAGTACTGTAATTCTCCTGCATGATCAGCAGGTGCAAAATTCTTAGGAGGAGAGCCAAGAAAGACCCCTTCCCAGTGAATTTTATATTCACATCCTCAAAGCTCAGAAGTACCTGAAAGAGAGAAAAAGACCCCCAAATCCAATGCTACAGATTATTATTTTGGCAGTAAGTGTCCACTCTTATATTCTTTTTCTTTTTAGGTTTTATTTTATTTTATTGAATGTATTTCAGGCATTACAATGTAATGAACACTATAGCAATTAAAACAGTATACAACAGGTATTGAATAACAAATTATACAGATTATCATAAACCTTAAAGCGCGTAACCTATAACAGTATAAGAGAGAATATTAATCTATACTTATTTTAACTTTTAATGTTTTGCTAAACTAAGTTTCTGTGGATTTTCCTCTAATTTTGTACAATTAAATGTAGTATGTAGAAGAGGGTTAATATTTTTTTTTACATTAGTTGTGTCTTACAGATGCAACCATTTGCGATAAATATGATTTGAAGGGAGTTTATCTTATGTGCCCAAATACGTACGAATTTAGAGTAGGTTGGAGCAGAGGGGTTGTGTGATCTGTATATGGAGTCCAAATCACAGAACAGATAGTCCTAACTGCGCTGGCGCAGCGGAGCCGGAAGGACGTTGCTGGGGCTGGAAGAAGGCGTGAGTCGCGCGCCCCGAAAAAAGAACTGTCGCCGGAACGTCGAAATGGGAACCCGCCGGAGACGATCGGAGGGCCGAGCCAAGAACAAACAAACCAACCACCACAGGGGGGCCGGTAGGTAGCCCCACCCCTACAGACTCTGTGGCCCTAGTTAGGGGAAAATTGTGTGACTAGCACCACTTGTAAGCCGCTCAGAGACCCCCTGAGAAAGAGGGTTCGAGCGGGATATAAAGTCTAAAGTTAAATAAATAAATAAATAAAAAACTGTCCAAGTACCACTGTTGTGAGAAGTGTAAGGAAAGCTTACTGCATGCAGAAACTCTTAAGTTCTGCAAATTAAGTGCACACACTTGCTTACTTTTCACAATTTATTTTGTGTGAGGCACAGTGTGAGTCACGTAAGCCCCACCACCACGGAAGACCTCAGTCCTCCCTCTAGCTGTGACTGCAGCATACATTGTCTTCACCCTTCAAACAGACCTCTGTGATCTTAAGGACTAGAAACTTGGGTTTTGGGGTTTTTTAAGTGGTAGCTTATTCTAGGTCCTTTAGCATGTAAAGCCATAGTTCCTTCCCGCAAGAGACCGGAGTCCCACTGCTACTCTTTGCATCTGTCAGCTAGGAAAGGTCTCCTCCATACAAGGGGCTGAGCATACAGGATCCCTCCACCATCCTCTCTCAGTGTCCTGGCAACACTTGGCGCTTAGGCGTTCGAGCCCAGCCAATCCCTTTTTATTTCAGCCCGTTTCAAGACGGAGCTCTCGCTCCCCCCAAACCCCAACAGCAGCGGCTTTTATTTGGATTTTTTGGGGGGGTACAACATCGTCGCGCTTTCGCCTACTTTCCGATTTTCCCACGACTACGCGCCCACCTCGTAGGATCTTGCCCATAGCAATCACTTGGCAGCTGGATTTCCCCGCTGCTGCGGACAAGCCAATCAGATGCAAATTCTAAGTACGGCGCGACGAGAGCGCATTATCTAAAAATGTGCGGGCGCAATAATGGGCTTCTCCAAACTTGCTTCTCTCTGCAGTCTTTCTAGGGACAATCGGACCTAAAACGGGCTGGGGAGGACAGGGCGGGCGCCAAGGTTCAGATTTCCGCACCCCTCCTCCCCTACATCCGGCACCATTACGCCTCATGCCCGCCATTCCCCCCCCCCCCCCCCCCCCGCGTGTGAGGCCTCTACACATAAACCGTTTTGGGGGGTGACTGTCCTCTATTGCTACGGCGTCGTTCCTGCTACAGATCTAACAAGCAAACCCGGGGGAAAGACTGCCAGAGAAGGAGGGGATGGCGGACGCGGGGGGAAAGCACGCAGGAAATCTCCATGCGGAGGCTCCGCTGCGAATGAGAGCAAAACGGGAAATCGCCCCCGTGCGGAAGCAACCCAAGTTAGGTCTTCGTTGCCGCTCCACTTACGTCCCCGGAGCGGCTCGCGGAAAGACACCGTATAGACAACGAAAGTCAAACAACAAAGCGGCAGAATTCGTATTTAAAACCAACCCACCCAAATAAATATACCTTTCGCGGCTCTTCGTCGGCTTTCCTGCACCAGCAGTTTTGGGGAGGTTCCTTCGCATCCCCTTTCGCGGCTACCAAAAAGTAGGTCCACCCATAGTGGGCGTGCCGGAGGGTGGAGAATCAAAGGATCAGGAATCGGTTCCCAAGCCTATGGGGAGGAGTGTGTGCATGTGTGTGCAGAGACTTCATGGGAGTTGTAGTCTATTCTCGGGCCTCTCCGAGCACAGAAGAGAGCTGTGGTGGCTTATGGGAGTTGTAGCATTTCGCCTCCATCAGCGGTCCGCGGGCGCTTCCTCTGAAAACCGAGCTCCCGCCCTGAGGCTAATAATAGTACTGCTGATTAAGAGTGACAGACCCTCGGAGAAGCACCAGCTTCAGATGGATAACGGAGCTACAAAGACAAACCCTTCATGCATCGAATGAACTGGACTCTGTGGCGCTCAGAGGAGGAGATTACTATCATTTCCCCCCATATTAATTATATACCGAGATGGGCATAACCAAAAGGGCAGCAGTGTCAAACTATCATCCTGTATAATAAACACACGGGGAGGGAATGATCATACATATGCCCCTGAAAGGACAGCATTAAAATGAACTAGGCTGGGGATATTCACTTTTGTTGTTGTGGACCAGCTCCCGCCAGGCCTTCCGGTCTTCCGCCGTCCTCTGAAGTTTGCTCAACTTCATGTTCGTTGCATCGATGACACTGTCTCACCATCTCATCCTTTGCCGTCCCCGTCCCTGTCTTCTTTGACCTTCAATCTTTCCCAGCATCAGGGTCTTCTCCAGTGAGTGCTCCCTTCTCATTTGGTGGCCAAAGTATTTGAGCTTCAGTTTCATTATCTGGCCTTCCAGGGAACAGTCAGGGTTGATTTCTTTTAGGATTGACTGATTTGATCTTCTTGCAGTCCAAGGGACTCTCAAGAGTCTTCTCCGGCACCATAGTTCAAAAGAATCTATTCTTCGGCGCTTGGCCTTCCTTATAGTCCAGCTCTCGAAGCTAAATGGTTCTGACTGGCCTGATCTAATCAGATCTCAGAAATCTAAGGGGGGGGGGGTCGGCTCTGGTAAGTACTTGGATGGGAGACCACCAAGGAAGACTAAGGGGTCACCCACACAGAGGCCAGGCAATGGCAAGCCACCTCTGAACGTGTCTTGCCTTGAAAACCCTACAGCAGTGGGGGCGAACCTATGGCACGGGTGCCAGAGGTGGCACTCAGAGCCCTCTCCGTGGGCACGCGTGCCATCGCCCCAGCCAGGCCCAGACCGTCATTAAAGTGTTGAATTCTCTGCCAAATCATTTTAAGTAAATGAAAGCATTTGGGATTGCTTTCCTTACTTTGTCTGGATCATCTTAAATTAATATATGAGTTGTTTTTTCTAAAGCAAAACCTCAGTATTCAGGTTAAATTGCCGCGTTGGCACTTTGTGATGAATAAGTGGGTTTTGGGTCGCAGTTTGGGCACTCAGTCTCTAAAAGGTTCGCCATCACTGCCCTACGGGGTCAACCAGAAGTTGTCTGTGACTGGAGGGTACTTTTAATCACCACCAGGTGAATTCATGGCCCTTTTTATTCTGTGCCTTTATGCAGGGTTTTTTGTGGGTGTTTTTTTTAAAAAAAAAAACTAGGTGCCAGAACTCTCGAGAGAGAGAAATGAAGTTTTCAATCTGTATACTAAAAACGCACCAACTTTTAAACATTTTAAAAGAATTTTGTCAAAGGGGTTCCAGAACTCCGTTCCGGCACATTCCCCCAGAAAAAAAGCCCGGCCTTTATGTGTCAACTCAAGAGGTCACTGCCAGCATCAGATGAAGCCCACCAATACTTCTACCACCGTAAATCAGCTAGTCTGTAAGACTCTTGCTGGTTTTGCTACTGCATACGAATACTCTGAAACTGATTTAAAAAATGTGAAATGATCCAAAGAGTTAAAATGAAAAGGCTCTGATTCTTAGAAATGGAGAGGAGGACATGGAACCTATCTGTCCTCTGCACAAAAAAAGAGAGATTCTCTATGGGTTTTTTGGGGGATAGAATCATAATTGGAAGGTACCTCCAGAGTCATCCAACCCCCTACACAATGCAGGAAATTCACAAATACCTCACCTCACACCCCCAGTGACCCCTGTTCCATGCTCAGAAGATGACAAAAAAAACCCCTCCAGGATCCCTGGCCAAATTGGCCTGGAGAAAAATTGCTTCCTGACTCCAAAGTGGCGATCAGCATTTCCCTGGGTGGTTTAAGAAAGGGCCACAAGAACTAAGCACTGAGGCAACCCTTCCTGTCCTCCCTCTCAATGTTCACAGAATCAGCACTGCTGTCAAATGGTCTGCTTAAAAACCTCCAAAGGAGGAGAGCCCACCACCTCCCGAGGAAGCCTGTTCCACTGAGGAGCTGCTCTGTCAGGAAGTTCTTGCTAATGTTCAGCCAAAAACTCTCCTGGTTTAATTTCAACCCATCGGTTCTTGTCGGACCTTCTCAGGCAATAGAAAACAACTCTGCACCATCCTCTAAATGACAGCCCTTCAAACCCTTGAAGAAAAAGAAGATGCACAGTTGCCAGGACTGCAACTGAAAGATCTCAAGGAGGTGAGCTTAAACTAGTAAAGGGGTACCTGCAAGCAACTGAAGGAAACGGTAGGAAATCAGGTTAGAGGTGAGCCACCCCACACGGATCCCTCTAGGTGAATGAACACCTGTGTGGTTCTTTTCCACAGTCAGGATATTTGAGGGTACCTGGCAGAGGAAGAACACCTGCTTGGCATCCAGAAAGGCCCACCTTTGACCACCAGCTAGAAGAGACTCAGGTCACATAGCTGGGAAAGAAAGATCTTTCTCGGCCTTAGGGAGCTGCTGCCTCTTGTTTATTTTTATTTATTTATTTATTATTAAATTTATACCTCGCCCTCCCCAGAGCGGGCTCGGAGGCACCTATGCCAAGGTTAAAACAAACAAGGTAAACAGAATAACAAGCAAAAGGTGGGTGTGGCTGGATGACCACTCTTCTGGTAACATGGGGGTGTGGCTTAATATGCTAATGAGCTGTGCTGTCAGGCGTGCAACCTAATATGCTAATGAGTTCCTGCTGGGCTTTTTCTACAAAAAAAGCCCTGATAAGCGTGTACTCTTTTGTCTGGCTGTGGAACCTGACATTCTGTGTGGTGCGGTGATGGTATAATAGTGGCACGGTGATGGTATAATGGTGGGGTTTGTGAGTTTGACTCACTATGAACAAGATTCAGCCCTCCTCTCCCCCCAAAAATTCCCGAGTTTTCAGGGTTAGCACTGCAGGGTGTCAAGTTTCTTTAGATGAGGAGCCACTAGAGACTGATGGAAATTTCACAGAAGCTGGAGCAGATCAGGTACAAAGTGGGGGTGGCTCCTTCCTGCCCGTGTGATGCAGCACCTGGAGTGAAGCTCAGCAAGTACAGTCTAGTCAGTGCTTTGCATGGGAGACTAGACGACCTCCAAGATTCCTTCCACTTCTAATTCTCTTTCTGTACCCCTAATGACGGAGTGAGCGCCCGTCTCTAGTTCCAGCTCCTGCCAACCTAGCAGTTCGAAAGCAAGAAATTGCAAGTAGATAAATAGGTACCACTTCGGTGGGAAGGCAACAGCGCTCCGTGCGCCTTGGTGTTTAGTCATGCCGGCCACATGACCACGGAAACATCTTCGGACAGCGCTGGCTCTTCGGCTTTGAAACGGAGATGAGCACCGCAACCCTAGAGTCGGATTCGACTGGCTTTCGAGCAAGGGAACCTTTACCTTTACCTTTTTACCCCTAATTTTAGCTTTGTTCTTACAATTCGCCAAACACTCGCCTTAGATCTCAACTGTAGCAGAGGAACTGGAACATTTAAGGTGGAACGGTGTATTCCATTTGGCACTGCAACCCCCCCCCCC